AGGATAGGCTTAGGAACCTCTGGGACATCTTTAAATGTACCAATATCTGAATCATAGGGGTGCCAGAAGGAGAAGAAGAGCAAGAAATTGAAAACCTATTTTAAACAATAATGAAAGAAAACTTCCCCAATCTGGTGAAGGAAATAGATGTACAAGTCTAGGAAGCACAGAAATCCCAAACAAGATGGACCCAAAGAAGACCACACTAAGACTCATCATAATTTACATGCCAAAGTTTTTTTTTAATATAAATTTATCTTTAGAAGGGAAGGGAAGGGAAGGAGAGAGGAAGAGAAATATCAATGGATGGTTGCTTCTGGTGTATCCCCTGCTGGGAACTGGCCTGCAACCCAGGCATGTGCCCTGACTGGGTATTGAACCATGATCTTTTGGTTCATAGGCCTGTGCTCAATCCACTGAGCTACACTAGCCAGGGCTTAAAATGCCAAAGTTTAAAGATAAAAAGAGAATCTTAAAAGCAGCAAGAGAAAAGGAGGCAGTTCCCTACAAAGTAGTTGCCATAAGACTGTCAGCTGATTTCTCAAAAGAAACTTTGCAGGCAAGAAGGGACTGGCAAGTATTCAAAGTGATGAAAAGCAAGGATCTACACCCAAGATTACTTTATCCAACAAAGCTATCATTTAGAATGGAAGGACTGATAAAGTGCTTCTCAAACAAGGTAAAGCTAAAGGAATTCATCACCACCAAGCCATTATTATATGAAATGCTAAAGGGAATTATATAAAAAAGGAGAAGAAGATCAAAACAATGGCTAATAAATTCACAACTATCAATAATTGAATCCAAATAACAAACTAAGCAAACAAGCAGAACAGGAACAGAATCACAGAAATGGAGATCATTTGGACGGTTATCAGTTGGGAAATGGGAAAGTGGTGGGAAAGGTATAGGGATTAAGAAGCACACATTGTTAAGTACAGAATAGAAAGGAGGGTGTTAAGAACAGTATAGGTAATAGAGTAACCAAAGAACTTATATGCATGACCCATGGACATGAACTAAGGGGAAGGTGATTTGTGGAGGGAATGGGGGTACCAGGTGGAGGGGGGCAAAGAGGAAAAATTATGTGTAATAGCATAATCAATAAAATATATTTAAAAGAAAAATATATAAAATCATATACTTTAAAAAATCAGCTGCAGGTCAAAAATATTCAGGGGGGGAAGCTACAATTTTGCTGAAATGTACTATATAGTGAGGTCTACAATGGCTGCAGGATTGTGTCTGTGTTGGACATGTGCAAATCTTTTTCTTGTCACTATTTCCCACTGTGTAGGATTTGGTACTATTTGCACCTTCAGGCATCATTGGGGGATAGTTTTGGAACCATCCCTGGTGGGTAAGGGGGACTACTATACTAAACAATCTTCTAAAGATAGACATTCTGGTTATCTGCACTTTTTTTCTTATTATTTAATATGTTACCATGAGCATCTTTGTACATTCTTATTTCTTTGCCTCTTCTGAACTAGATACATGACATAAATTCCTAAAACTCCGGTTCCAGGGTTAAAGGCAGAATTGGGGTCGCCTGCACTAGCCGACACCCACCTGCATCTGCTGGAATCCAGGCCTCACCCTCCCCTCTGCTCTGCTCCCTGGCCCAGTCCCCACCTTCTGCCACTCTGAGCAGTCACTATGTCATGTGCACCAAGATGGGGACAGGCAACTGCCTGGCCATTTTTGCGGAAGTTTTGTGCTGAAATTGAGAACTACTGATAATTTAGCAGGGCAACGACCCAGGATTTCAGGCGACCTAAAGAGGAAGGCATATGAGGCAGACAGTAGACAGGCAGTCCTGTGCCCCCTTGCTGCCTGTCCAAACCAGAACATCTTGCCCAAATTATTTTATAAGGAGGTACAAAACAGTAAGTTTCTAATTCTATCTTTCCTTCTACAGTGATTAGTTGACACTGGTTCACAAAGAAGGTCCTTTTCTCATCCACTTGGGGCCAATTGACTTATTAGTCATAATAATAATTAACGTCGAGAGCTTACTGTGTGCTAGACACTGTTGAGTGCTTTAGCGACCTTACTTCATGTAATGACAAAGAAACCTGCAAGGCAGTATGAGCCATGCCCACTTTAGAGCTGACACGCAGAGGAATTGAGCATTTTGCCCAGCAACCCAGATTGCAAGTGACAGGGCTAGGGGCCACCCCGTAACACCTAAACCTGTGGTCTTGCTGCTACGTCCTGCTGCATGCTATTCCTTTAAAGCTCATCTGACGAGTGACTACATAAGGTCAGGGGCCCTGGGGAGGGAAGGATGATTGTAAAGTGTGACTTACTGTCCGAAAGAGCTCTGGGTATATTAGGCATTAAATATTGCTGGTCTACACACCAAACCCAGCTCACAGACTTGTTTGGTGACTTATTTGCCAACATTTACAACTCAGTAAATTTCACATGTAAGTCCAAGTTTCTAGATTCTCTTTAGAAATGGAAAGATCTGTCCATACTTAGGCTACACTTTCATGTAGTAATAACAATCAATTAATGCCAAGCAGCCCCTTCCCCATTCACGCATGTACTGTGCCACCCTCACCACTACTCCCTGTTGTATTCCCAACACTGAAGCAGAGCTTCAGTTGTTTTACTCATGCCTTGCCTAAATATACCATCTTAGCATGTTTTCTAACCTGGTATTCAAAAAAAAGCTGGTTTTTTTGTAAAGACAGCACATTAAATTCCCATCTTGGTCCCTTTTGCCTCAAATACAGAGTACCAAGAGCAAAAAATATGAAAAATAGTGAAATAAAAAGCCATAACTGACTTAGAAAAAAACAACTCAGTGCCACAAATTCCAGGTCTTTAATGGAGCTGATGGTACAGATATGCAGGGCCCCGAGTCTGCAAGTGGGCAGCAGCAACCCAGTTAAAGTCCGATAGGGAAACAGGGACTGACTAAGGACAGGGAGCACACCCAGGTTTCTTCCCAGCCCATCAAATAGTCCTGAAAGGCCAAATATCTTCTGACATAAGATGCAAGCAATAATTTAAAGATTCCAGAGGACAGAGGTACCATATTGGATCTACCAGAGATACTCTACCCATGTACTATGTCCCACTATAGGTTCCAGAAAAGTCTCCCTTCACTAGGTCCTGAGGACTAAAGTATACTGCAAGTGATAGAATTTTTATAAAGCTTTTCATTGGCTAGACTCTCTATGCCAAATATGTTGATAAAGGCACTGCAATTGAAATGGGCCCCTGATCTGGGGAAGTGGAATTGGTTTTACCTTCAGTGAAAACCTCCAGAAGCAAAATGATTTTTCACAAATGGCAGCAGGGTGGCCATGATCCTCAAATACCTATGGATACATCATCATGCACAAAATTTATGACTTTTTAAATTAATCGTGGGCTCCCCAGAATGAAACTGTAAGTGACTGTGACACACACCTATTTCTTCCACCACACCCCCTTGCTGCTTTAACTGTTGTGGCTGGAAGAGATATTCACTTTAGCAGCCTCCTTGCCGTAGCCATGTGACACATTTTTAGCCAAAGAGAAATCTATTTCTCTTTGGGTACTTCTAGCAAGGCTTCAGCTTTTCCTGATAAAAGAGACAGAGACAGTTGGCAGCTGCCTTGCAATCATAAGGGAAATGTTAAGAGAGTCACAGAGAGGGTGATCCAGATCTCTAACATGGTTCATTTCCTGAGCACACTACCTACTTTTTGATTTCTTGTTATGTAAAATGCTCTCTATTGTATATGCCATTGTAAACTGAATTTCCTGTCACTTGCAGCCAAAAACATTATGAACTGATCTAGAAATCCATAAGGAATTACTTGATTTATATTTGCTTAAGTCATATGAAATTTATGGTTTTTGTAGGTCAAAATGATTGACTGTCAGCATTCTGCATCATTCGCAGGCTGCTTCCTTTAGGAGAAGCAGCCGAGGCTGCAGTGCTGCTGTGTGGTTCCTTGTCCTTGTCCAGTAGGAGAAAAAGACTTTCTGCCCAGCATTCTGGAGCATTCTAAAATTCCCACTAAGTGGCCCCCTTAGGTCACATGCTTATCCCTGAATCAATCACCATGATCCTGGATGATCCTGGATGAAAAGGTGTTGACTGGTGTAAATCAAACAGGATCCACTCCTGGACCTGGGATAGGGTCCACTTCCTTCCCCCAAAACTCTAGGTACTTTCAGAGAGTGGGAATCACTCAGAGAATGGACGCTGGCTAGATAACCACACGGTCTACTGCAAAAGGTCTTCATCAGGTTAGGTGTTTTGAGTTGGCAGCAACAGAAACAAACAACACAGAATGGGAGATAGACAAATTAGGGTTTTATTATCTGAAGAAAGAGGATACAAATATCCGCTAGCTATTTTATAGATGGTCCCAAAATGTATTTATTTAACCCAATAATGAAATTCGACTTCGAAAAGAGCAGAGAAGAAGTGAGCATGGCAGGAAGGTGAGAAGTGAGAGCCAGTCCAAACAAGGCGGCCTTCATCAGGAGATGTGCAGAGAAAGGTCTGCTGGTGGGAAACTCCTATGAGGAATGTGAGCGAAGACTTTAAAAAACAAAATAGTAATGACAAGAATAAACGCACAAGCAAACGAACAAATAATGTAACAGAATGAAGAGTCCGGAAATGAATTATGCATCTACGATGACTTCATTTATCAAGGTTGCATTTGAATTCCACTGGGAACGGTGCAGTTTGCTTAACAAATGGTGCTGGCATAACTGGCTCTCCACCTGGCAGAAAACAAAGTTAGACTCTAGTTCATACTTACACAAGGATACATACCAGCTATAGTAAAGATATATATTTTAAAAAAGAATATGAAAATATTTGGTTGGGGAGCAAAGGACACTTTCCTAACTCAGAACCCTAGGGGGCTGCAGCTCTCATTGCGCCTCTTCCATTGGGCCCCCATGGGTAACGTCATGGTATATCTAGCCAATGAGAATTGAGCATGGACGCGCGCTCGGCCAATAGGGCCAGAGCGGGAGATTTGAAAGGACCTCAGCAGGGGCGCGGCCGGGACGATTCAGTCGTTTGCTAGCGCCCAGGAGGTTGGCTGTGCCACGGGTCTCGGGTGAGCTGACCTTTCGCTGCGGGAGAAGGCAGGTGATCAGGCAGGTCGGGGGTCCGATGGGCGGGCCCTCTCGCACACAGTTCAGCTGCTGAGTGCTCCAGGGTAGACAGAGTGTCCTGGAAAATGGTGGGGCGTGTAGCAGGGCTGGAGTGTCAGGACCAGGGTCTGGCTGAGCCCTAATGCGGTCAACGCGTTGACACACTGAGTTTCCCCAGCCCCAGGCAATCGCTTTCAGCTAGATCGGTCCTACCCTTCCCTTTCTCGCTCTCTCTTTTTCCTGCTTCTCAGGACTCTGTTTCCCTTCTTTGCTCAGCTCTCCTCCCCCTTTCCTTCTAGGGATGACTCAGAAGGAGAACGCCTACCCCTGGCCCTACAGCCGGCAGATGGTAAGGGCTTTCCCACTTACCCTCCCCTTCCCGCACGGTGAGTTCCGGCTTGGAGATTTGAAGTCCTGCAGAGGGCGATATTCTAAGCACGTTCTTCTTTGTTATTTCTCATGAGTTTGCTGACAGAACTTGGTCTGGTTATTTGCAGACACATCCTGTCAAGTGTCGCCAACTTCCATCTGACCAGCCTGTGAGGGCCTCTGCAGGGCTGAACCTACTTGTTATATACAAATGATAACTGAGACCGAGCAGGCAGGGTTGGGCTCTCAGGCCAAGATTTTCACCCCTTGTCCTGAAAATCCTGAAAAAAATAGACTTAATAATTTGGAATTTATTTTAATGACTGCTGTGGGATAAGGATCTAAATAGAAGGTGTCCCAACACCTTTCATCGAAGAGTTTATCCTCTGATTTGAAACGCCACCTTTATTATTATATTCAATTCCGACATATATGTGGGTCTGTTTCTTGACTCTTTTGTTCAACTTGCTTATTTGTAAATTCTATACTGATATCACAGGGAATAGGTTCTAAGGGGCACTGAGGCTTTCTTCCTCTTGGTTAAAGAAGAAAGAAGGAGCCACACAGTCTTTGCTCCATTTGTAGGGCTTGGGTATTCTGGAGGGTCCATCTTCCTTGTCCACCAGCTCCCTCCCTCAAGAAACACTGAGTGAGGCTGGCAAAAGTGGAGGCTGAAGGAGAAACCATTGTCATTTTTACATTGGTCACTCCCAAAAGAAAGTTTTGTATATTAACCAGAATTTGAAAATGAGAAGTGGTCCAAGGCCATCGGAATATCCCTCAGTGTCCCTAAAGCCTATTGTTGCAAAGGGGTAAATGCTGGTATTTGCTGAACATTCAAGGCCTCAAGGACCTTATCTAAGCCTTAATAGAGTGAGATTTGGGGGGAACTGTGAGAATGTCCCTGTGCTAAAACTCCTTGAACTGTGCATGTTCATGACCCCAGCCCTCTACTGCCTCCTGGGGTGGAGAGCTGGGTGAATCAGACGAGTTATGGACAGGACTATAGGGGCTGGACAGCTTCATGCCTGAAAATGTGGTGTGGGCCAGGGCCAAAGAGATGAAGTGTTAAGTGTTGGGGCAAGTTTTTGCTCCTTATCTTAAGCTGACTTAGCTTATTTATTGGTACCCACTAATATGGAGTTCTGAGCAGATTCTTGAGGCTGAGTAGCAATGTTGTGGTCTCAGTGTTCCTCTGTGAACTGGTGTTGGGTGGGTGGGTGGCTCTATAGCAACTACTGAAATGCTGCTTGCAGCACATTCCAACCTGGTCACTGGGACAAAGGCATCCTCAGAGCACCCTGTGCTCCTTCCTTCTCAGGCTCCATCTGGCCTGAACACCCTACCACAAAGAGTCCTCCGGAAGGAGCTTACCACCCCATCTTCGCTTGTCCTCATGAGCTGCTCCAATGCCCACCCCACAGGTAACGGGGACAAGGGGAAGAGGATTGACCTGAGGGGGCTAGAGTCTGGGGAGGGAGCAGGGATGAAAATGTTAAAGGACAGCCTCAACTAACCTGTGCTTTTCATAGCTGCTGCTGGCCAGGACAGCTGTGGGACACCCAACTCAATGTAAGTGCCCAAGCCATGGAGTGGCAAGAGAGGGGGTGGGGCAGTGAACAGGTAGGAAATGAGGGTGCTAGAAGGTAAGGGCAGGAGGGTTAGGGATGCAGGCAAGAAAGCCTGGTCTATCTTCAACTGCCCTGGAAGAGAAATGGGATTGAGGGAGGGATGAGCTCAAATACCAACACCTCAGGTGAGCCACAAACCCATGCTCAGCTGCCTTCCCCACACTCTCTAATTAGGCGGACCTTCACAATTGACGACTTTGAGATCGGGCGTCCTCTGGGCAAAGGCAAGTTTGGAAATGTGTACTTGGCTCGGGAGAAGAAAAGCCGTTTCATCGTGGCACTCAAGGTCCTCTTCAAGTCTCAGATAGAGAAGGAGGGTGTGGAGCACCAGCTTCGCAGGGAGATCGAAATCCAGGCCCATCTGCAGTACGGTCATGCCCTCTGAGCCAAAGTCCCTCTGCTCCCTACCTGCCCCACCGCTTTAAACCCCATCACACCCAGACTGTTTTCTCTGCAGCTGTGGCTACTTAGAACCCTTGATCTCTCATTTCCACCCAGAGCCTTGAATCCGGAGAGCTGTCTCCAGTTCCCCCTTATCACTTCCAGCCCTGGTGTCCCCAGCCTGGTCCACGTCTGACCCCAGTTTGCCCTGTATGGACCTGTCGTCTTTCCCATGCCATGATGCGGCCTGAGGCCTCCTATGTTTCTTCTCTCAGGCATCCCAACATCTTGCGTCTCTACAACTATTTCTATGACCGTCGAAGGATCTACTTGATTCTGGAGTATGCCCCCCGAGGGGAGCTCTATAAGGAGCTGCAGAAGAGCCGCACTTTTGACGAGCAGCGAACTGCCACGGTTGGGAAGGGGTGGGCACCTGGGATGCCTGCAGCGGGCTTGAAACTGCGGGGGATGCTTCTTGCAGCTGGAGGTCCGCCCTTGTCTAACCGCCTCTTGTTGGCCTTCCCAGATCATGGAGGAACTGGCAGACGCATTGATGTACTGCCATGCGAAGAAGGTGATTCACAGAGACATAAAGCCAGAGAATCTGCTCTTGGGGCTCCAGGGAGAGCTGAAGATCGCTGACTTTGGCTGGTCTGTACACGCCCCCTCCCTGAGGTATGTTGTGCCAGGAGGCCAGCCATGGGTGCGAAGCTGGGGCATTCAGAACAAGACCACTCCAGATCTTGTGGCCCGGGAACATTTGGGTTTGTCCTCGTGTAGATACACAGACACAACAGTATTTTTACAAAAGTAGGGGACTCACCAATTTATTGCCCAGATTTCTTATTCAATACATTGGGACTGTCTTGCCATATTGAGAATACTCCTACATCATTTTTAATGGCTTTTTAGTATTGTATAGGAGAGATGAAATGCAATTTATTTAAGCAGGACATACCTGATAGCCATTCAAGATATCTCCATCTTTTCCTTTAATTCTAAGGTGAACATTGCCGTCTTATCTGATTATTCTAAGACACATCCCTCTGTGGAAATGGTGAGGCAGGCAGTGTGTAAGCCCACCTCTGGGGCTTTGGTTTATAGCTTCACCTCAATGGTACCCCAAAACCCTGTTAGAACCAGGCTGGAACACTCCCCTGCTGCACCCCAGGGGCTCACCTCCCTGTTGTCAGGCAGCCTGAGAGGACAGGCCCTTTGTCTCTGGCATCCCTGCTCACTCCCCGCCCCATCCAGGAGGAAGACGATGTGCGGCACCCTGGACTACCTGCCGCCAGAGATGATTGAGGGGCGCATGCACAATGAGAAGGTGGACCTGTGGTGCATCGGGGTACTCTGCTATGAGCTGCTGGTGGGAAACCCCCCCTTTGAGAGTGCTTCGCACAATGAAACATACCGGCGCATCGTCAAGGTGGGAGGGTTGACCCCAACTGCCTGGCTGGGGCTTTGTGCTGGCTGGGGAGATCCGGGGGCCGGGAGTGCAAAGAATGTAGTTGTAAGGACCACGTAAGTCTCCAGATAGAATGGGCAGTCGGGGAGAAAGCAGCCGGGGTGAAACTAATGAGTCCTTTCTTCTATCTCTACTTCTGCAGGTGGACCTGAAGTTCCCCTCTTCTGTGCCCGTGGGAGCCCAGGACCTCATCTCCAAGCTGCTCAAACATAACCCCTCAGACCGACTGCCTCTGGCTCAGGTCTCAGCCCACCCTTGGGTCCGGGCCCACTCTCGGAGGGTGCTACCACCCTCGGCCCTTCAGTCTGTCTCCTGAATCGTCCCTGTCATTTACTCAGTTATATCTATATTTTGTATGTTTGTATATGTGTAGTTGGAAGGAGGGGTCTCTGGCCTGTTCCCTTATCTGTCTTCTACCTCCTTTTTATTTAATAAAGGCTGAAACGTTTTATAATGATGAGTATAGATGTTTACAGGTGGAGACTTCACTGGGGAGGAAGCTGGTCCCCTACAGGGAGGAGGGTGGGGAGTTGCCTGCTCTGGACGCCAGGGACTCCTACCGCATCGTGCCCCTGGTAGCAGCTGCCCTCGGCTCTGATACTGGCCTGGTCAGTGGCCAGCCACCTTGCCCCCACTGTCTTTACTTTCCCCTGCTCTGATTCCCAGAGTCTGGACCCACTGGGGACCTGGGCTCTGCTCTGCTAAGCCTGATCTCTGCCCACCTCTCACTTTTCACTCTCAACTGCCTGACCTCTAGTGTTTCTCCTGGTTCAGTCCCTGCCAACCTAGGAGCAACTGAACAGTGCTGTTCCCTAGAAGTTGTCCTGTTCTCTTTGTTTTATTGCTCTGGTCAGGATCTGATACAGGAGTCAGTAGAAGCAGTACAGATGGTATCTCATTTCTGACTCAGGTTTCACTGTTAAATAGATTGTTTGCGGTAGGTTCACCCTCATTTTGCAGGTAAAGCAACTGAGACACATGATCTACCAAAAGTCACACAACTAGTAAGGGGAGCCCAGTTTTAAAACTTCATATTTAATACTGTGCTAGAATGGTATAATCTTGCCTTTTCATAACACACACATTTATTGTATATGTATATATATCACAGAAGTGGAACAAGAATTACAGTTTTTGCTGTTATTAAGTATAGCCTAAAAAAAATCCTTTATCAGGTTAAAGTAGGCCTGTTCTCTTTTTTTTGGTAAGGGTTTGGGTTGTTAGTATCAGTAGGTGTTCACTTTTCATCAAATGCTTTTCCTGTATTGATTCTTTGCTCTTTTAATCATTGTGGTGAATCAATAAATGTTTTTATTTTTATTTTACCTCAGTTTTTCATGCTGTATTGGATTCCTAGAGCCTCAGTAATAAAACACGACAAGCTTGGTGATCTAAAACCACGGAAATTTACTCCAGCAGGTCCAAAGTCAAGGTGTGCACAGTACCACACTCCCTTTGACGGCTCTAGGGAACATCTTTACCTCTTCCAGCTTCAGGTGGCTTCAGGCTGGCTGTGGCTGCATAACTCCAGTCTCTGCTTTCCTCTTCACATGGCCTTCCCCTCTTCTGTCTCTGTCTCTTCTCTATGTCAAGGACACTACTCATTTGATTTATGACCCACCCAGAGCCCAGGATGACCTCAAGATCCGTAATTACATCCACATAGACACTTTGCCCAAAAAACTGCACATTCATGTGTTCATAGGACATAGACATCATGGGGGCACAATGCAACCCGCTAAATGTGCCCACAGATGAACACAACTGAATGCTGTTGTAAGACCAAAAGGGAAAAAGACAGTCTGCCCATTTCTCTTTTCCCAGAGACATCTAATTCTGAGTCTTTGCTAATTTGTTTTACTTTACTTTTAGTATTTACCATCCATTTCTAAATCACATGCTTCTGTTGCTATTTCACAAATTCTCAATTTTAAGTATTACCTATTGTTTACCTGCTATAAAATTTAAGGATTAATTCTTTTACCCCTTTGCCACTATATCTATGCACACGTCCTGTCCCTGCATCCTGACATAGTTATGTCATACTTTCAGTTAGATTTACTGATTTGACAATGGTTATTGAGTGCCTTTGACATTCCAGGCCCCATTCTAGAGGCTGGAAGTAAAGCAATGAATAAAATAAAATCCTCTGTGCTCATGGATCTTGCTAATCTAGAGGATCAATGCCCACTGTTTGTATTATCATGAGATGCTAGCCAAGCTGACTCATGTGGCATTCTAGTATTTTCCTTATGTAACTTTTGACTGTCCCTGAAGTTGTCTTGTTGGCTCAGTCCCCTGCATATAGGTCACTAATCCATCTCCGAGTTCTTCGGTGAGGGCAGTTCTTCAACGTTAAAGCTATTGATGTCCATCAGAGTGTCATTTCATTGCATCATACAGGCCTGATACAGTATTTTGTATCAATATTCTCTAATTACTATTATGAATTGTTCTCTGATCCAGGAGTATTTCAAAGGTATCTTTAAAATTCCAAACACATGGGCTCTCCCTTGCCCCATTTTCCTTCACCCTCACCACCACGCCTGCTGTGCAAGTGCACTGTGCTTGTTTCAATTTACACAAATTAAATGAGTCAATTCACTCATAAATAATGTAAGGTGAAACTCCCCTTTCCCAATTAAACTAACACCAGTTTGATAACATCTTTCTAGTCCTCTTCCTTTGTATTTACATTTCTATCTATATGCTCCTAGAAAACAGCTTTTTTTTTTCTTAGCATGTGGGGATTTCTTTAATGTAAATAGCATTGGCCTGTACGTGTTGTTTCGTCACTTCCTTTTTGCCCTTATGATGCCTTAGAAGACTCTATGACAGTCTGGGTAGATGTGCTCTGTAAAACTGCCACACTGTAGTCCTCATTATGAACATTCTTAGGTTCTTTAAAAAGCCATTCTGTTGATGGACATATAGACTATCTTCAGTGTGTTGCACTATGACCATGTCTTTTACATGCTCTCTTGTGCGCCTATGTAAGGACTTCTCTGGGGAAGATCTGGAGAAGGACACAGCGCTGCTGGGTGGTAAGGTACACCTTGGAAACGTTCAATAGACGACTTTGCCCAATTGCTCTCCAAGGTGGTGGGGCAGCTCACACTCCTACCAGCTCTAATGGAGGGTATCCGCTTTCCCGCACCCTGCTCTGGCGTGTTGGCTTTTCCACTCCCCAAGTCACCAAAGCTCCTGGAGCATATTGAATTTGTTTCCACCCCAGGGCCTTTGCACTTGCTCTTCCCTCTGTCTAGAATGCATCCTCAATGATTTTGTTGAGCTGCTAAATTAACCAACCCTGATATCCTTGGACATTTTTCTATTATATGTATCTTTTACTAATTTACTTGTAAAAGCGGGGGATATTAATTTGTCATATACTTTGCCAATATTGTTTACCTTTCTGCAATTTTTCTTTCAACATAAAGTTTAGAGTAGCTTTTTCATAATGAAGTCTTTCATATAGTCTTTCATAATCTATCATCTTTTTCCTTTATGGATTTGATGTTTGGTTTTCTTTTGAAAACCTTTATTATCTCAAACTTATAAAAAAACATGCAGCTCTGTTTACCTTCAGTACTTTTCTTCTTCTTCATTTAAAATTGTCTTGTTCCCTGACAGGTGCGGCTCAGCACATTGAGTGTAGGCCTCCTAACTGAAAGGGTGCCGGTTCCACCCCGTCAGGGCACATGCCTAGGTTGAGGGCCAGGTCCCCAGTTCGGGGCATGCAAGAGGCAACCAACGGATGTTTCTCTGGCACATCGGTGTTTCTCTCCCTATCTGACCCACTTCCCCTCTAAAAATAAATAAATCATTAAAAAATAAATAAAATTGTGATCAGCCCTGCCTGGGCAGCTTAGTTGGTTAGAGCATCAGCCAATAGGTGCCAGGGTTGCAGGTTCCAAAATGGGTCAGAGCACATAAAAGTATTAACCAATGAATGTGTGAAAAGGTGAAGTAAAATGTTTCTCTCTTTTTCTCATCATTTAAAAAAATATTTTATTTATTTACTTGTAGAGAGATGCGGAGCAAGGAAGAAAGAGAGAGAGAAACACATGAATGGGTTGCCTGTCACAGGCCCCATTTGGGGACCTGGCCCACATGGCCCATAACCCAGGCATGTGTCCTGACCAGGAGTCGAACTGGCAACCTTTTGGTTCATAGGCCAGTGCGCAACCCACAGAGCCCCACCAGTCAGGACTCAAATCAATTTTTCTTAAAGAGGAAAACTGTGATGAAAGTGGAATTTATTTATTTATTTACTTATTTTTTGGTGTAAGGAATGAAATAATTGTTTTTTTGTTTTAGTTCAAATAGCTGGTCTCACACAATGTCTATAAATTGATTCAAAATGCCACCATTTTCTTCATACACTAAATTCCCATTTTCTTCATACACTGAATTTCCATATACAGGAACTGCACAGTTGGTAACAAAAGATAGATGTATTTCTGGGATAGCAGGAAAAACATAGGCCTTTAACAAGACACTTGTCCCTGATTACAGCAAAACACATTCTTCTCTAGCTCCAGGCACTGTAGTACAGGTCTTTTGGACCAAAAACATTTTTTATGAAATATTTCAGAGTATTCCAAAGCCTCACAAACAGAATGTGCATATGTGTGGAAATACGAGTCACATCAGATATCCAGGAGTGACCAAAAGTTGGTGACAGTGATAGGCAAACAGCAGCTGCAGTGCAGAGGTGGCAAATTTTATGTGTAAAAGTCTATGAAGTAATTAATTTAGGCTTTGCAAGCCATATGGCCTTTGCTAAAACTACTAAACTGTGGCATTATGAGTGAGCCTGGCTAGATGCCAATAAAACTTTATAAACATTAAAATTTGAATTTCATATAATTATATAAACTTTTCATATTTTTATATTATTTTTAAACATTAAAAATGCAAAAAACTCTCCTAAAGTATGGTATACTTTGACCACAGATATGTATCAGCCAGTTCACTACTGTAAATACGCTTGCTGTGTAAGACATATGACAAGAAATAACAGGACTGGTGTCACGAAACTTCTTCAGCTACATTAAGAAATAAGACTTGAAAAATAAGAACATCAACACTTAAGCATGGAATAGGGCTTGCTTGGTTTCTTCTGCATAACAAGGTAAAAACTTGTCTCTCAATATTTGTGTGTATTTAGCTTACAGATGATTTGTGCCATGAACAGGGGGGCATTTAATCAAATCAAAAACACAGGCATATAGAATTAACTTAATTAAAAAACTTACACAGAAGATTATAACATCAGACATGACAGAAAGAACTGAGTTTATTTACCTGGACAATTTGTGTGTGTCTGGCTTTTAAAACTTTTAAATAATAAATGTGCAGGAAAACTTAAAATGCAAAAAACATTCTTAGCTCACAGGCCACATAAAAATGGATGGGGAGCAGAATTTGGCCCACGGGCCATACTTTACTGGCCCCTAATGTAATGAACACTGTGGTCACTGACCCATAACCTCTCTTCCCTCCCCTATTGTGTTGCAGCTACTTGAGTTTGGGGTAATTGACCTACCCTAGATCCAGGGGGAGCACAACTTCTTCAATATAATCAGTTAATTCTTATCACCTTGCTGGAGTGATTGCTTGCAGACCTAGGCTGAAGTCAATCCGACAAATCAATCAGACTATATTACTGGCCAAAGTGACTATATTGGGTATGTGAACCAGTTGAGGACAATGAGATGTGATGGGACATTAACTGGGGCTTTGGGAAAGATGCACCCTTGTCCTTCTGTGAAGACTAATGGGAGATGTGGGAGTGTATCAGCCACGGTTCCTGTTGCACGTGTAAAAATTAATAGAGACCTCATTTCAAATGGACTAAGGAGGCTGGAAGAGAGGACTCTTGTTCAGGTGTCACTCAACACATAGTGCTGACCCCAACAGGAAGAGACATACCTTGCTCTCAAACCGCGATACTGCTTTACTACCTCAGCTGGGGAAAGAAATGGGAGACTGTCATAACTCAGCCAATGAAAAGTCACTATACTTCCAACTTGTAGTTTCCTCCAGTGGACTCTTCATTTACAACAGCATAAGTGCATAAAAGAGCAGTTCCTCTCCTTTGTTTCTCGGGACTTGCATGTGGTTTACCTTTAGCCCCATGTCCCAAAGTGCAATTCTGCATTGTTCCCAAACAAAGCCATTTTGCTGAAGAAATACTGGCTATTTGTTTAAGGCCAATACATGCAACAGAAGACAATCCCGGTTAATTTAAACAGAAAAGGACCTTACTAATAAGC